AATGGAACTGGTAAAGCCACTCCTTAAAACCCCATACAGTGGTGCCCTGCATAGCGACAATAATCCGTTCCAAAAAATTCGTCGCTATACGGATTCGTCGCTATGCGGGGCAAAAAAGCCCATAGGAACGCATTGAAACCCCTTCAATGCGTTCCTATGGGCAAAAAACTCACCGTTCTACGGAAATCCTCCATGCAGCCGCCATTTTCGCTGCCCGGTAAGCGAGGAAAGGGCGTGAAAAGACTGCGGGCGGCCATTTTGGAACAGACAATCAACTGTTTTAAAAACATCGTTATGCGATAATCGGTAAGCAAAACGCTTACCGATCATCGCAAAGCAATGTTTTGCCATTGAAAACATCATTATGCGATCGCTTTTGCGATTGCAAAAACCTCATCGCTATGCGGATTCGTCGTTAAACGAATCGCTCGTTATGCAGGGCACCACTGTACTTACCTTGAAAATCCTGTCAGAATCGCTGTATGGTTAGTTATGTGCCATCAAGTGATTCCAACTTGATGGTACGCAACTAACTAAATATAAATGATGAGCCCAATGATTTAGGTATCTGGCTGTGGAGCCAACATGTAGGAGTTCAATTCCTCACTGTGCCTCCTTAGTAGGGACTAGACTTGAACTAAAGGGTCCCTTCCAGCTCTGCAGTTCTAAGATTATATTACTGTACTGTTAAACAAGTCACATTGATTTCAGTGGGTCTGCTATACCTGGGATTAAAATTGATTAGCCCTTCATTTCCAAATGAAATGGGTGAAGATCCACAAACATGTACTGTATAAGTATCATAATTTTCACTAAAGCACCACTAGAGTCATGTTGTCAACAGAGTATGTAATAGAGTGACAAAAATGCATGTGTAGAATATACCACACTTAAATATTATTATTCAGCTGTTAACCTATAGAAAAATATAAATTGCAATCGAACATGAAAGATGTAAATGAAGAAAGCAGATGTTATCTTAGTATGAAACAGATGTAAAACAGTAGTGTTTACTTCATAAAGTATGGCATTGGGTTGAATACATCTGGTGTTCAGCTTACAAATTAATAATTTATGTTTGATGCATTCTTGCTAATGAGATCCCCTCTGTGCCCAGCAAATTCTGGAACATTTCAGAGATATTTCCGTTTTTAAAATATTGACTATATTATAATATTGACTGTATTTTTCAGTGTATGTGCAACTAACATGGAAACTTCAGTCATGTAGATTCATGTAAAATGATAAGACCATAGGATCTGACTGTCAGTGTTTCAGGGACTTTAGTGAGCTTAAGCTGATGCAGTGGTGCCTCGACTTACGAACGTCCCTACTTAATGACCATTTCAACTTACACACAGCTCCGGTTGCAAAATTTGGCTTCGACTTGCAACCGGAGCTTTGACTTATGACTGAATAAAAATGCAGGGAAAGCGGGAAATTTGAACTGCTTTCAGTTAACTGTTGAGTCAGCGAAGATGCTGCTTCTCTGTACCCCATTTGCCCCAGCGGTTAGAGAGTGTGAATACGGAGAGAGACTTTGGACTGCCTGGTACTGTACTGTACTGTACTGTATTTTTTGGCTTTTTTATTTTTGCTTTTTGGATTTTTGACTTTCTTTTTTAAAACAGAGAGACTGCCTGTTCTGGGTGAGTACTGTATTTACTGTACAGGGTTTTTGCAGCGTGGGTTTGGGCTAGGTGGGGGGTTTATGTTTATGTGCTCTGATGGGTCTTGCAGTGTGGGTTTAAAATGTGAAAATTAGACTGTAATTTTAAAACGTAAAATTTATTTTTTCATTCTATGGCTCCTAGGGTTTGTGTACTGTGAGCTCTCTTTTGTTTTAAAATGTGTGGGTTTAAAATGTGACACTAAAGTCTTTTTGTTTTAAAATCAGAAAATTTTATATGAGGGGTTGTGGTTGCAGGCATGGTGTAAAATGGACTTTAGACTCGAGTCTCTCCCCTCCCCCATTGTCTTCTCTCTGCATTCTCTCTTTTTGTGCTTAACATCACAAACCTTTGCGTGAGAGGTCTGTGTGCCCCAGTGATGACCTTCTTTCTTTCCTCTTTTCCCCATTGTTCCCTCCCTCCATTCCTGCCCTTTTTTTAACCTAAGTCATCTTAGGTTAAAAGAAGAAAAATTCTCTCTCTAGTGGTAGAGGATGGATTAACCACTTTTGCATTGGTTCCTATGGGAATGAATGCTTCGACTTGCAACCGGCACCTCTAGATAGAGTGGTGCCTCGTATTACGATGTTAATTCGTTCCAGCGAAATCGCTGTAGAACGAAAACATCGTAAAGCGAAATTAAAAAGCCCATAGAAACACATTAAAACCTGATTAATGCGTTCCTGTGGGCTTGAAACTCACCGTCCGGCGAAGATCCTCTATAGCGCGGCCATTTTTGCTGCCCGTGCAGCGAGGAATCCATCCCAGAAAACAGCGGGCGGCCGTTTTTTTAACCCGGCAGCCATTTTGAAACCGCTAATCAGCTGTAGGAAAATCGTCCCTTTGCGAGAATCGGTTCCCGAAGCAGGGAACCAATCATCACAAAGCAAAATTCCCCCATAGGAAACATCGTTTCGCTATCGCTTTTGTGATCGCAAAAACTTTGTCGTTATGCGATTTTGTCGTAAAACGGAGCGCTCGGCTTGCGAGGCACCACTGTACAACCAAAAAACAGCCAGAACAGATTAATCAGGTTTCAGTGTATTTCAATGGGAAATGCTGCTTCCACTTACAACCATTTCAACTTATGACCATCTTCTGGAACAGATTATGGTCTTAAGTTGAGGTACCAGTTACTACTCTAGCAGGTTCATGGAGCATAATGTTTCAAAGGGTTTAAAACTTGTATCTGTTATGTACTAGTCAGTGTTTTCCTAATTTTGATTGACTGTTCCTAGTCATTATGAATAACAATAATAATTTAATAATTGTCATCATCTTAGAACTGTCATCATCTTAGTCCAGCTCCTGTCAGGGAGGCACAGTGGGGAATCAAACTCCCAGCCTCTGCCTCTCCAGCCAGATACCTAAACCACTGAGCTATCCCAACAGTTCAGTATCAGCCATCTGTTCTTCCTCCTTTTTCCATTGGTTTGTCTCAAATTAGGACTTTATTTCGGTTTGGATAATGAGAATTTCATTATTATTTAATTTAATATATTTCATACCTTACTTCAACTATACTGTATCTGAATAGTCTCTTGACTCTTGCTAATGCATTGGTTATCCAAACAGGAGCGTAAGTTACAATTGCGTCCCATGTCCCTATTGGTGTGCTTTTTGAACACCAGTCAAAGTTGCCTGATAGATTTGAATCTTGGAGTCTGGACTAAAATCTCTGCTGTGCCACCAATACTTCAAATGTCCTTGACTGAGAGATTGATCTGAGGTCTTCACTAGTAGAATTGGGAAGGCATCTGATCTGTTTCACAGAAGTGTTGACCATGAAAAATAAGATGAGTCAAACCTATTGTATTAACTAACATTTACCGTTTTGTTGATGTTACATTGACTTTATTGAACTGTTTGAAATTATGCAAAATTAAGAAAAACATCAACATGTTTCTTCTTGCCTCTTAACTGGCCTGTTTTCCTACAGGAAGTGGAGCAGGAAATTTCATTCAGGACAGAATGTGGTCTCTATTATTCGTATTACAAACAGATGCTGCAGGCTCCTTCCATTTCATTAGGTATTGTAAGATATATATTATATATTAATTAAACTTTGATTTTCTGAACTGCATAAAGTGCACATAGCTCTCAAAAGTGTGATTCTGTTGCATTTTTGGTCTTCAACCATGTCTTAAGCTTGTCATAGAGTCTGTATAAATTCTAGGAATACAAACTTTTATGTTGTTGCTGTGTCTCAGGGCTGGGGGAAGTGTGATGTTAAGTCATTAAGTCAAGTCTCAGTTTAGTCATTTTTAACTCCTAGAGAGAGTTCTGATTTGATTAGATCAAACACACACTTATTTTATCTACTATGGTATCTGTAAAGCTGCTATCCAGCACCACATGTTGAACTAATTGTTTTTTTCACTGATCAGTTTCATATCTGTATATAATGATCAGGAATAGAATGCATCATTTTCGCCTTGGTCTCCAGTGACACATCCTCAGTCTTGTGAATCTGTTCTAGTTCTTTGATACCTGTTCTTTCAAGCCTCGGTCTCCTGATTTCTTGACTGCAGTCAGTTTTGTAACTTAGTAAAAGACCCATTCTGTTGATGAGTTGCATTAGCCTCAAGGTACCTAGAATCCCAAAACACATATTACACTAACAACTTACTAAACATATATAATTATATTATTGAAGAAAAAATTTATTCCAAAACGTTAAACCAAAGGACTTTGTAATGATGGAATTTGATAACAAACACATTTCTTCAGTTTCTAACTCTGTAAATTATCAATATTTTTTAAAAAGCATGCTCTCCTTTTATTTCCCTCTTACTCTGCAGGTTTACATAGTTTGATTTATGATAATAAAACTGAATCTATGAGAACGATTAATATACTTGGAAGAATGAATGTTTACCAAGAAGTATTTCTTAGCATTCTGTATACAGTTTTTCATATGAAGGTATGTGTTTACTTTCAAATTTTTGACTAAGCAAAATAAATTGAACTTCCCATATGAGTCTTACTTATACATGTTTTTGAATTTGATGACACATATGGTGCAGTCCTATGCATAGTTACTCAGAAGTAGGTCCTGTTTTTGTTGTTATGTGCTGTCAAGTCACTTCTGACATATGGCAACTCTGTGAATGAGCAATCTCCAAAATGTCTGTCCTCAACAGACTCAACTCTTGCAAATTCAAGCTTGTGGTTCATTTCAGCAGTCAACCCATCTCACATTTGGTCCTTCTCTTTTCCTGCTGTCTTCAGTCTTTCCCAGCATTATTGTCTTTAGCAGCAAACACTGTCTTCCCATGAAGTAGGACAGCCTCAGTTTCATCATTTTTGTCTCCAGAGATACTTCAGTTGCTCTAGGACTTACTTGTTTTCCTTTCTGGCAGCCAAGGTCATGTGCAAAGCTCTTCTCCAGCACCACATTTCAAACAACTCGGTTATCAGCCTTCTTTACTGTTGAACTTCCACATCTGTACATAGTAAATGGAAATAGTGTACAATAGTGTGAATGATCTTGGTCTTTGTTGCCAATGGCACATTCTTACACTTGATGATCTTGTCTAGTTCCTTCGGAGTCTCATTATTCTTCTGATTTCTTGACTGCAATCTGGGATTGATGATTGAACCAAGGTATACAAAATCTCTTAACTATTTCAACAACTTCATTGTCAACATTAAAGTTGTATAGTTTTTCTGTAGTCATGATTTTGGTCTTTATGTTCAACTACTGTCCAGCTTCGGCACTTTCTTCTTTCACTAAAGGCCATTCTGTTTCTCCATATTCTGTCCTAAGGGTAGCTTCGTGTTCACAGTAGAGGTTGCAGATCAGAACAATCACATGCTGGGGCACACCCATTTCTTTCAGAACAGCCCATAGTTCTCATAATCCACACAATCAAAAGGTTTGCTGTACTCTATAAAGCATCTCAAGTGCCTTTCCCTTTTCAGAATCCAGCTTGAACATGAGGCATTTTTTTTACTCCATACAAGCTTTTGTTACAGAATCCAGCTTGAACATCTGGCATTTTTTTTTACTCCATACAAGCTTTTGTTAAAATATCTTGAACAACTTTGCTTGCATGGGAAATTAGAACAGTGGTTGCATAGCTACTGCACTCCTTGGCACTTCTTTTCCTTATTTGTTGGCATATTTGTGTTAGGATTTTGAGAGAATCAGTCTCTGTGGCTTGAAATAGTTCTATTGGTATTCCATCTGCTCCTGGTGATTTATTTTTCCAGTGCTTTCAGAGCAGTCTTCACTTCATTTTTTAGAACTTAAGGTTCTGTGTCTTACAATTCCTCTTGAAAGGAGTCTATCATCTTTCACTTCATTTTTTAGAACTTCAGGTTCTGTGTCTTAGAATTCCTCTTGAAAGGAGTCTATCATCCTTTTATCTCTTCTATATAGGTCTTCAGTGTGCTGTTTCCACCTTCTCTTTATTTTCTCCTAGTAAGATGTGCTTTTCATCTGTCTTTTTCAATTTTAAGTGTTTATTCCATCACCCATCTAAGTTTTTCTTTTAACTACATGAATTATCTTTTTCATTTTTCCTAATATCTCTGGTTTCAATCTGCAGTTCTTCTAGTTCATGTTCAGTGCAGATCTGTTCCTTATGTGTACTTCAAATTCATCAGGAATGTTCTTTAGATAATATTTTGACACTACAATTCTTTTCTTTTTCAGTTTTACTCTAAAGTTGGATATTCATGCTCAGTACCATAATCTGCTTCTGGTCTTGTCTTGGCAGAGAGAATACAGCTTCTCCATTTCCAACTTCCAATTATGTGGTCTATTTGATTTCTGTATCGACCATCTGGTGATGTCCACGTGCACTGCTGTTTGTTTGGTTGTTTGAAATATGTATTTGAAGCAAACATATTGTTAACTTTGTAGAATTCTGAGTCATTCTCCTGCTTCATTTCTGTCCCCTGGACCAAATTTTCCAGCAACATTTGGTTCTGCTTTGTGCCTTCCTTTTGTGTTCCAGCCACCTATGATTGTAAGCATGTCTTGTTTTGGTGTGTGATCAATTAGATGCTTGTGTAAAAGCTTTCAGTTTCATCTTCTTTGGCATTGGTAGTTTGAGCATAGACTTTGAATGATGGTTACGTTGATAGGTTTTCCATGGAGTCTGATGGATTGATTGATTCATTGAGTGTAAAGATGTAAATCTTCAGTCATTTTGCTTGTGTGTTTGGGTACCTTTTTGTAGAAGTGTTTTTTCTTCTTCAGTTGACCTTGTATTTCATGCAGAAATGCATTTTTTTTTATTTATTTTTTTGCAAAATCAAAGATTTTTTAAAACCCCAAATAACCTATTTTTTCATACGGAAATGCTGTTGCTAAAGAAAAAGTTGTTGGTCTTTTCATTTTCATATGCAAGGGAAAAATCTCACAGCAGTTGCCCATTTTTGTGTCAAGTCACCATTTTTCATTAAAGAGAAGAACATGTACATGTTACATCTGTAATCTGGTAGCATATACAGTGGGGTCTTGACTTAAGAACGGCTTGAGTTAAGAACCTCTAGTGGTCGAAGGCAGAATAGCAGCTTCCCATTAGTTTCTATGGACGGAAAAGAGCAGATACGGATCAAATGGTTTTCAATGCATTCCTATGGGAAATGCAGATTTGACCTGAGAACTTTTTGACTTGAGAACCACCTTCCAATACGGATTAAGTTCTCAAGTCAAGACCCCACTGTATTCTAGTAAGGGTGCATAGAACTGCATTTTTACAGTGTAATCCTTTGTGCATTTCCTTAGAAAGAATTCTCATATATTGGAAACCATATATGTGAACAAAGGTTGTAGGATTTAATTTACGGCGATTCATACGATATAAACAGTTGGTTTCGTGTTAAAACAAGCAGTATATGTTTAACTATCTCATATATCCTTCTTTCACAGAGATTTTTAGAACCTGTTTATTTTTATATCTACACGTTGTTTAGCCTTCAGGCAGTCTATGTCATTGCTCTGTATGTAACCAGCTGGCTTCTCAGTGGAACGTGGGTTTCAGGTGTATTAGCAACCTTCTGGTATATCATAAACAGGTGAGGATAATTTTGTGAGTCCTCGCAGCAGTGATTTGACTTCTGCCATGTTATCAGGGGGAATATATTCAACCTTTTAGAGACAGATTGCAATGTATACATTAACATAGATAGGTTGGTAGGAACCCCTTCCCCCGGGTGCCATTGGATAAACCCTTCTGAACATTAGTTGTGTTGGGTAGGAGCTGTTAGAAGACTGAATCATCATAATCATCATTCTTTATTATGATCACAGACCAGCAAGATTATATAAAAAAACAGAGCATACAGAAAACTCCTATATGTAGTGTATGAATCCTGCTTTCAAGGTGACTGCAACGTTTTCTCTCTAATTCTCATAGCAATCAATAAAAAATTAGACACCCTGTCAGTAATATAAGTGGACACACCCTCTAAACAGGACAGTAACAAATCTGAAGGGCTACCATGCAGAGAGACAACTTCTTTCTGCAGTCTAGAAGTTTGAATCTAGTAACATCTGAAGAGAAAGAGAATTTCCATCTGTGCTTTGGAGCTTTTCTAGTCTCAGGCCCTTCCTTGATATGCGGATCTAGGCTTGAATTCGTAAGAAGGTGACAGATGACTTTTAAGAATAATGTAGGGGGGGATTATGTGAGAGGAATAAAATAAGATGGCCGAACCATGGCACATAAGGGAGGATTATATATATCCTAATTGAGAAAGTTGGGACTGTAAAGGCCAAATATTAAAATATCATTTGGAAAAAAAAATTCTAGTGTGGAATTTTCAAATTCAGTGTATCCCAAAGGCTAAGAATCTTCCTATTGTGAAGAAATGTTTGTAGCAGAGCTGCCTGGACTGAAAAGTGCTTTACCACTGCTAATATCTATTTAGTGCCATTAGCGTGTAGGTTGTCTATGAGAAGGCACCCATGTGAATCACTCAATAGGCTGTCAGTTTACTAATTAAGAAAACTGATTCCTACAGTTCTACTGCAAATAACATTTGAGGTAGGTGAACTTAGTGAAGTTAGCCATAGTTTCTTGAACAAAAAACACAGAGAAATCATTTTGTCAGTTTGGACTTTGAAAACTTTTGTGTTTTGTATTTGAAGGTCACTTTGATATACTGTTACTCTGGATTTTCTAGATTTGTAAACATGCCACATTTCTCTTCTCAGTGCTCGTTGCTGGTTAAGATCTGATTTTTAAAAAGAAACATTTTAAATCAAGAGTTAATCAGTCTGATTATCTTGATAGTTTTGTACTGTTTTTGGAAGTAACCAAAGAATAGCTCAAGTCCATTTTCAGTTTTGAGTGATTTCAGCTTTGCTGAGTTTTTTTTCAGCTTTGGCCCACCCATTTCTATATCGACCTTTGTTTTTTGTTTTGCACAGGGTAGACACGACCCGAGTGGAATTCACCATTCCACTGAGAGAGAACTGGGCGCTGCCATTCTTTGCTGTTCAGATAGCAGCAATCACCTTCTACGTCAGACCTCGCTTGCGGCCTGTTCATGAAGTGAGTATTTTTTTTTAATAGGAAAAAAATTCCTCATTGAGATATCATGTGAATGAATGTGGTGGGATGGTTCAAATTTTGGACCACCAACCTACACAATTTAGGTTCAAATACCCACTGAGCCATCCAACATTCTGGATCCCTTTAGACCAGTCAGTTCCTCTCAACGTAACCTAATTCACACAGTTGTTATGGGCATAAAGCCAATTCTGCTCTTTCATAGTTAAACATAATTTATTTGTTTCAGTACGAATTCCCCAGTTCCGCAAGAGACCCTTTGTGGACCAGAGCAGATTTCTCTTTGTACACCTGAAAGCGGGGGAGGGGTTGGATAGTTGGATGCACCAGAGAGTTCCTGAGCATACCATTATAGTAAGTGTGATCCAGAAAAAGTGGCTGCATACCTAGGATCAAAATAGTTGTCATGAGTAAAGTATATTTCCTACAGTTCATCTGATCAACCCCTTTCCTTCACACAATGGGGTTTCTCAGAGATACATATCTCAGCAATCAGATCCGCAAAGTAATTTCATGTTTACTTCCTAGTGACCAATCACAAAACAAAGCGTGCTAAATACAAGATATGTAATCAAGGACAATCACATTTATGGCAAACGGATGTCTTACAGCATTTCTAGAAGCAGCCCTGCAAAAACTGATGAAAATACTATCTTGTGTGATCCATAAACAGGTTCCCCAAAAACAGCAGCCTTGGTAACTGGCTTTTTCAGGAGAGAAGGAAGGCTTGGGTTCTACTCCCACCTCGCTCCATCTCTATCCAATATCTTCTGGCTATGTGTATCATATTTTGCCATGTATAAAACACATTTTCCTAAAATAATTAAAGGAAAAATTGAGGGTTGTTTTATACACAGAAGTAAGTAAGGGGGGAGGGCTCAAGGTGCTTTGATCCCTGCTTTCCCCCTCCACATTCTGGAAACAAAATGGAGGGGGAAAGCAGGAATCACTTTCCTCCTCCATTTTCTTTGCAAAACGTGTAGGGGGAAAGCTGCTTTTTGCAATGAAAGTGAAGTGGGAAAGCAGTAATCGCTTCCCCCCTCAATTTTCTTTGCAAAACGTGAAGAGAGCTGCTTTTTGCAACGAAAGTGAAGTGAGAAAGCAAGAATCACTGTCCCCCTCCACTTTCTTGCAAAAAAAGAAATTTGGTTTAGAAAAGTAGGGGGTGTCTTATACATGGAGTGTCTTATACATGGGAAAATACGGTAGTTTGTTAAATCATGGTTTTTAAAGTATGCTTCTCGGGATATATGGGTAGTTTTCAAAGGTCAACAAGGTGCTACATTGGGCAGGGCAATCTCTGCTTTCCATTTTCCTTGCTGTTACCATTTTTCAGTTTCTTCATGTGTGTGATTTTTCTGTTTTTTCAGCGGCTGGCACTTATGGCAATATTTATTTCAACCTTCCTCTTCAGTTTGGCTTGGCAGTTTAATCAGTTTATGCTCTTGATCCAGGCTTTGGTTTTTTTCACACTCGACTGCCTTGACTTGCTTCCTAGGGGAAAGGTACGTTAATTGTTGAATGTGGCACACACCTAAATATTGTTGAAATAAAGGAAGGTACTGTAGTAAGTTTGATTGTATACAACATTGCAACTGTCATGTATAATTTTAAATTTTGAAAAAAAGACTGCAGTGATATAAATGTTGGTTATCAAAGTGATATAAACATCTACTCTTGTACTGAAGGACAGAAATAGAATTGTACATCTAAACAAATACCAAAAGGCCATCTAATCCATATCACGTTTTTTCTCCCTCTCTCTTTCATTTTAAACAGAGAGTAGAAAGTTCTGCAGGCAGACTCAGTTCTGCTGGTGGGAATTTACCTTCTCTCTGTTCCTGTGCCAGCTTTTGTCACCATAGGACTTTCATGCATATTACAAAAGACATCTGCTTCAGTTTCTTTCATACAGAGGAGGAAGAGATCGATTTTTATTACAGCAATTTTTATTTTAAAACTATGATATGTATAATTTCCTATTATTTTTGCAGGTGACCTGGATTTACATAATTCAAGTATCTAGTTTGCTGCTTGTATGCCTCCTACAGTTTTTCAATACCATGATAATAGGATCGTTGCTTGTAAGCTTTAATATGTCCACATTGTTGGCAAGAAAACTTCAGGTATATATTTATCATTATTTCTTTTGAAATGACCAGTAGATGAGAGAAACTAGACAGCTGCCTGTTTTGTTACAAAACCTGTTATACCTATGGTGTGATGCTGTCTGGTGTTGTCTTGGACTCCCATAAGCCTTACATTATCTCAATACTCCAGTCTTTAAGAACGTAACGTTTTCTTCTTCACAATACCTCTTATTGTTTATAACAGAGCTTTGGAAGGTGGGGGCTGCCAGATGTTGTAGAATGAAACTCCCACCAACTCAAGCTGATGTTACAAGAGAGGACAGAGAGAAATGTTTAGTCTACTCTTCTAGTACTAGAACTCTTTGGTCAACAAATGAAATTCATTGGAATTAGGTCCAAGTCAGAAAAGAAAAAATACTTCTTTGCATAACAACCTATTGGCTTATGGTGGCCAAATCTTTTGGTGGTTGTAGAGAAGTTGTGACTGAAATCCTTTTGCTTTAGTTTAATGCTGCGTAAGCCTGATGACATTTTAAATCCATTTTATGTACCAGATTAACATTAGAAGTGTGATTCAGATATGTTACCTTTCTGCTCCAACTGTCCAGAGCATAACAGCAACACAGATGGCAGAATAAAAGGGTTTTTTAAGAACACTACATGGCTTGGCTTAAAAGGTCTTGTCTTCTTCCCAGTATATCAAAACTGATTGTCATGCTGCTTCTTCCATGATTGTATATAAAAGATCCATGCTTGCATGCAAATGCCTGTGAAACAGCAATGCACATTTTCTTTCCCGAGCACATGGGGAAGCTAGTACAGCTATTTATCATCTAATGTTAACACTTCTGCTGTCTTGTGTAAGTAAGCCTTATGCTCTGTATTTATGTATTTAGAGCATTTGCACCCCATTCTTCTGAGGAAAAGGTTTGTGGGTTTGTGAGTTTGGCTCACAAAAATTAAGATAGTCCCTGCTCTGCTTAAACAACACAACACAGAAGGAAAAAAAAATGGGGGGTGATGATAGAGGAAGAAGCTCAGGCAACAATTCTAAATGTTATCACAAGGCAAATCAGGGGATAGGAATCCAGCCTATAGTGGATGAGGTTACACTTACCCTAAAAAGTCAGGTTCACAGCTTGGCTCTACTCCTTGTAAGGTAAAGGTAAAGGTTCCCCTTGACAATTTTTGTCCAGTTGTGTTTGACTCTAGGGGGCAGTGCTCATCCCCGTTTCCAAGCCATAGAGACAGCGTTTTGTCCGAAGACAATCTTCCGTGGTCACATGGCCAATGCGACTTAGACACGGAACGCTGTTACCTTCCCCCCGAGGTGGTCCCTATTTATCTATTTCCATTTGCATGCTTTCGAACCGCTAGGTTGGCGGGAGCTGGGACAAGCGACGGGAGCTCACTCCGTCGCGTGGATTTAATCTTACAACTGCTGGTCTTCTGACCCTGCAGCACAGGCTTCTGCGGTTTAGCCCACAGCGCCACCACGTCCCTACTCCTTGACTCAGCTCTAAAGTTTGGATACACCCTCAGTAGTGGCCAGGAATGCTTTTGCACATTTAAAGCCTGGAAAAATCTGATCTGGCCATGGTGACACATACTTTCATTAAATCTCATCTGAATTACTGCAGTGTGGTCTACATGGGGTTGCCTTTGAAGAATATTCACCTCCTTCAGCTGGTTCAAAACGCTGTAGCCAGACTCCAGTCAATATTTTTAGAATTTTGATTGACTGTGCCTTGTAGTTTTGAATAATAATCATAAACATTACATAGTCATTCTAACTCAGTTTGACTACGATTCCCTGGACACTTCCTTGAGAACCAGTGAGTTCAGTGACTTATTTTGATATACAGAGAGTTAGGTTGGAAAAATCTGGAAGGAGAATGTGTGCAAAACTGTACTATAAAAATGTGACCACGGGAAAGGATTATTGAAGTGCTAGCAGTGCTCACAAAGAAGATGACTGCTCTTGATCAAGTAATACAGAAGACTGGATTTGACCAGTTCTCTTAATGGAGTCAGGCCATTGTGTAATGACATCTAGCTCTAACTGGAAAACTGGGTGCGAGAATGTGAATGGCAAAGGGATGGTGTTACATACAGAGGAAGTCATGGAGTCACCACATCATCATAATGTTCAGTTTAGGATCAGAAATGCTAATCAGAATTGGAACCAGAACTACATAGGAACCATGGCAATGTTGCCCTCGTGCATCTCATGAATCCATTTTAGGGCAGAGTTTCTCTTTTGTGCCATATCCTTCCTCTGTTCTGTTTAGGGTATTCCTGAATATGAGCCTCTACTCTTGCAGCATGATCACTCCAAGATTTATGGCACTTTTGTGGTTTAGTCATTAAGTCGTGTCCGACTCTTTGTGACCCCATGGACCAGAGCACGCCAGGCCCTCCTGTCTTCCACTGCCTCCCGGAGTTGGGTCAAATTCATGTTGGTCGCTTCGGTGGCCTTGTCCAACCATCTCGTCCTCTGTTGTCCCCTTCTCCTCTTGCCTTTCCACTTCCCCAACATCAGGGTCTTTTCCAGAGAGTCTTCTCTGCTCATAAGATGGCCAGTTTATTGGAGCCTCAGCGTCAGGATCTGTCCTTCCAGTGAGCACTCAGGGCATCTACAATTCCTCAAAACAAATGCTGTATTTTCTCTGGCAAAATCAGTGCTTTGAAAACACCACTAGCTTCTCCCTTTACAACTAATTGGAATCTGAAGCTGAAATGTCCTTGTGTGTTTGCAGAGTGTAATCAACACACCAGTATCTTTTAGTGATATGTATACTGTAAACACTGAAGTACTGTCATTTTCATTTTTCCAGAAAAACCTGAAAACTGGAGGCTTGTTCAGCAGGCTTGGGAAGCTTTTCTTTCACTTACTCTTAGTCTTATGTTTGACGTTCCTTATAAATAATTTTATTAAGGTGAGTAAACCAGCTGCCTTCCATTGTTTCCCAACTATATCCATCTAGCATCTTATCAATATGGTGTATTTAAGTAGCTTTGTGTACTAAAACAGAGCCCACTATAGTATAGTGTAGGGGTGGGCAACTGATCATCCAGAGATGGTTGGACTGCAACTCCCATATGCAGTGATGAAAGATGCTGGGACCTGCAGTCCAACAGGATCATTATGGGCTGTATCCAGCATCTGTGAGAGCATAATTGTGCTAAAACAACGGAGCCTTGCCAGCCTTTCTTTCCCTATGCAATTCCCTGCACCCACCCACTTGCCTCTAAATTCTGCTTGAAAAGATCAGCCAAGTCTCCAAAGCAGATTTCTGTCAGTCACAAGGAAAGAGGGGAAATCTGTGGCAGAGACAGTGCCACTAGTCCACAGCTAGCTCACGACACTGGTACAGTGCACCCAAGTCATGGTACCCAAACCCAGCCAAATTATTTTGGCACTTGATGAAGAAAATCCACAGCCACTTGACCACGTGTCTGGCTGTAGAAATAAAATAACAACAAAGCAAATAGCTGACAATACATCCAAAATTAACTTGAGGTCCCTACCCCTTTCATCTAAAGATAGGGCTGGCCCCCTATATCAGCAGACTGACATAGTCAGGTGTTCATTCACTGAGATTATAAAGAAATTTTGTTTCTCATGTGGGTTTTTGGTAAGCAAATTTGAATTTCCTCATTCAGAATAAGTCCTGTCTTTTCAACTTCTTTGGCTTAACATTAGAGTTGCTTAATTACCAAGAGAAAATGGAATGTGTTGATTTGTGTTTTCAGTAGTCAGATATATTACAAGCTTTTATAGCTTCAGCTGCCACGTGATCCATCCCGTATCCGGACTGACAACAGACTTTATTAGCCTTCTTGTCCTGCAGAAGTCTTTTTCAGCTGGGCAGCTGTATTACGGACTGCGGGGGGGGGGGGCAGGAAAAATAGAAAAGTCCCCCAAATCATCATAGCCGGAAGTTGGGATCCAGTGCATTTGTTTTCAAGTGAGTTGTCTGCAGCATTGTAGAATCAACTTGAGGTAGTCTAAGAATTCAGGTTTTACTTGAGGCAACAGTGATTACTTCTTTTTATTTTATGCATTGCCTAGTGTGTAAGCTAGTTCACAAATGCTGTATGGGGTAAGGCATTGTCCTATATGCCTCTGTTTCCAAACAAACAGAAGCCATGTGCTTCGATACAAGGTGCTGGAGAAGAGCGGGAATGGTTGAGTGACTGGTGGTCAACGCTCCGTCTACTGGGATTAGAAAGGACAATGAAATCTGCATTTCCGGAGGTGAAACCTGAAAGCCTACAGACATTTTTGACCATGGAGTCAACAATTAAACAAGAGAGCCTGGTCCCAACATCTGGCCATGATGGTTTTTAGGAGTCTTCTGTTTTTCTCCCACCACTTGCAATATCCAGCCTGATGAAGAATCCTGCAGGACTCGAAAGATTGCCTTTTTGTGGGATTTTAGTGGTCTGATCAGGATATCACCCTATACCGCCCCATAGCGCTACAAGCACTCTCCGGGTGATATCCTGATCAGTGGTCTGATCAGGATATCACCAACCCTTTTTTTCTGATTAATTATTTCTTTTTTATTTATTTAAAATATTTTCAAATATCTCTCCTAAAAAGAATCCAAGGTGGCTTAGAGTATTAAAAAATGAACATCATAAAAGCAAATAACACTAAATTAATACAATATTTTATAAAGAATTAAGCAAATATATTTGTATTGAAGACTTTCCTTTAAATGATTAGCTGGCCAAGAGGATTTTTTCAAGGGATAATTCTATTCTGTTATTTTACTTGTCTTTTTAATACTGCTATTATTTCTAAGTTTTAATGTGATATCTGCTTAATTCTTTTTTAATATTGTAATAATGTATTAGCTTTGTTTCTTTTAATACTTTAAGCTGCATTGGATCCTTTTGGAGAAAGATGGGATATAAATATTTTAAATAAATAAAATATTAAAAACTAATAGATAAAATTAGAACTAAAATGCATTTAAAACACAGTCCCATTAAAAAAATTAGACAGCTAGTCACTAAAACAAAGTCTTTATGAACAGAAAGGTTTTTACCTGCTTCCAGAAGGATAGCAAAAATAGAGCCAGCCTATATCCCAATCCACATATTAGTCTGAAAGTGGGAATCAGTTTGGTTTGCTTTAAAATGCAAGCCAAACAAAATTCTCTAGCATCCAGGGATGGGGACTCTAGTTGTGAAACTCACTATGGAGTCACGCTGAAGTCACACCAGGGGCTCAACTGTGAGTTGACTCGCCTGTTTTTTTAAATGGCTTGGACTCAATTTGCATCTTGCAGCCTTTTTCCCATGTCATTTTTTGAGTCCCTATTCTTTTAGGGGTTTTTTAAAAAGTTGTTTCACTTTTTTAAAAACACATTCTTGTTGGAACCCTCTTGTTTCACAGGCTGCAGAGGGAAATTGCATAGTAGAAGCCTCTCTCTCTCTCTCTCTCTCTCTGTCTCTCTCTGTGTGTGTGTGTGTGTGACTGACTGAGTGGAGGGGAGGGAGGAAGACTGCTTCTCTGGGTTTGGCTGGGCAGAGCTCTTGTTGAACTTCTGACTGAGCTCTTCTCTGCAAGTTTTTGCATCATTTTGCTCTGTGTGTGTGTGTGTGTGTGTGTGCATGCATACAAGTGACTTCTTTAGCTGCTCTCCTACAAGCGACAAACACACTCCCTCTCTGCAAAACAATGCCAAAACTTTTCATCATTTTGAGAGAAGGTGTGTGTGTGTCTCTTGCAGGAAAACAGCTCAAGAGGAAAAGAAGTCACCCTCACATGCTTTCTGCAGAATAACCAAAAAACTTGGAGATAAGAGCTCAGACAGCAAGTTCAGCAGCAGGTGTGTCCACCTGGTTCCAGATAACCAGCCTTCTTCCTTCCCCCTGACACACACAGACACACACCAGCCTGGGTGAAGGGAGGAGGAGTCCCGTGCAAGCCACAAAGGGTTTCTCCAGTGCAATTTCCCTCTGTCTGCAGCCTATAAAATAGAGGATTCCTGCCTGAAAATTGAGCTGTTCAAGCAAAAAGCAAAGTGTGCTGCTTATGTACTGCCCCATAGCACTTAAACTGGGTGGTTTACAAATTAATTATGCAGGCTACACATTGCCCCCCTCCCCGAGCTGGGTATTCATTTTACCCACTTTGGAAGGATAGAAGGCTGAGTCAACCTTGAGCCGGCTGCCTGAGATTGAACCCCCGGGTCATGAGCACAGTTATGGCTGCAGGACAGCAGTTTAACCACTGCGTCATAAAGCTGTTAAAAAGGTAAGTAAGAGAAACAATGCTTACCTGGGTAACCAAAGAAAAAAACTGTGCAGATTGACTAACTATCTACAGTAACTATATACAGTGGCGCCTCGCAAGACGATTTTAATTCGTTCTGCGAAAATCATTGTCTTGTGGAGACATTGTCTTGCGAAATGCGGTTCCCCATACGAATGCATTGAAATCTATTTAATGCGTTCCAGTGGGGGGGGGGAATCAGTGTCTTGCGAAAATCGTCCATAGAAAACATCGTCTTCGAAACGTGGTTCCCCATAGGAATGCATTGAAATCTAATTAATGCGTTCCATTTGGGAGAGGGAACCGTCTTGCTAAGCATCAGTTAAAAAAAAAACCCAAAACACAACAACAAAAAACCGTCTTATGAAATAGCAGGCTCTGGTGCTGGTTTGGATGCCTTCTGGCACAGTGGTGGAACTGTGGGAGACTTCTGGGTGGGGGTGGCTGAACAGGTTTTGAACCAATGGGGGAAAAAGCCATCTTATGAAGCATTGTTCTTTAAAAAAACACCCGTCTTTTGAAAATCGTCCATAGGAAAAACCATCTTGCGAAGCGCCACAGCAATTGCAAAAACCCATCGTCTTGCAGATTAATTGTCCCGTGAGGCAATCGTCTTATGTACAGTGGTGCCCCACATGACAACGATAATCCGTTCCAGCAAAATTGCTGTACAATGAAATCATCGTCATGCAGGGAAAAAAACAATTGGAATGCATTGAAAACCGGTCAATGCGTTCCAATGGGGGAAATACCTGACCGTCCTGCGAAGATCCAGCATAGGGCGGCCATTTTCCGATCCCTGTCTTGCAAAAATAGGTCAGCAAAACACCGGGGAGCCATTTTGCGAACCGCCAATCAGCTGTTTTTAATTGTCATGAAGTGAAAAATCGGTTCCCGAAGCAGGGACCGAATCAACGTAAAGCGAAAAAACCCCATAGAAACATCATTTTGCGATCGCTATAGCGATCGCAAAAAAAGCATCATGAAGCAATTTCGTCATCAAGCGGGGTCGTCATAATGCGGGGCACCACTGTATTCTTAAAATATCCTATCAATTTAAGTACTGACAAGATTTCAGTCAGTACAAAATACATTCAGTGCAAACACATTGTTATGCTTTACACTATCTAAATTTTCAACAAAGGAACTGAAGCCATTTTCCAAGCAAATTCTGTAACGAAGGAAAGTGTGGGACTTAAAAGCTTGATTGGAGTTTTCTAAAGCATAAGAATTGGATCATACAAGCTGGACGTGTTTGAGTAAGATCTCTCAGCTTCCTGGTATGTTTGAGTGTTTGCACTGAATGTACTTTGTATTGACTGAAATTTTGTCAGTATTTAAATGATATGGTACTTTAGTTACTGTAAATAATTTGTATTTAGTCAGTCTGCACAGGTTTTTCTTTGTTAACCTAAAAAAAATAAGTGAAGCAAGATTTTTAAAACATTTTTTTTTAAAAAAGTTTTCAGAAGGACAGAAGGGAGCAAACATGGGTAGTTCACAAACCTAGACCCTCCACACACAGAGATCCCTCCACCCGTCCTTTTTTTTCCTGTGGAAAAAAGACCTTATTTTAATAGCAATTTGAGACTTGGATTTGGGGCTCAGGAATTGGAACTTGGTACCAAAGACTCTTGACTCAGACTTTGGACTTGGACTTTCAAACAGGTGGGAGTTGTTACTCCTATCATTCTCTCTTGAGAACTTATATATCCCCCATTTCCACTATAAAGGGTTAAAGGAACAAAATAGCAAAGAACAGAACAACTGAAGGCAGTCAGTCTATCAATAATATAACATAATAAAACAACCAATTTAAGATTTCGCTATAAAAATGAACAGAAACATTAGAAATCAATCGAGCCATCTAGAAATGATGAGTTAGGTGAAATTAAAGCCTGACCTAAGTGTAAAAGCTCCTTCAAATTTATCAACAACCTAACTCTGTGAATACTAATAAAATTCCTGGAGCCAGGAGTTTGATATTGTAGGGGTTGCCAACAAATACGCAAGTATGGGCTGTCCTTTTGGTCGGCCACCAGCAGCCGAGGAACTGACAGGTTTGTCAGAGGAAGTAAGTATGTATTTCTACACTCTGGATCCTGCAATGTGCTGGGCCTTTCATTATTTTTTGCTCATCTTGGAGTAGTGTTCATCTAGGGGGCAACAGGTGTCCCGTTGGCTGCATGTACCCCCAAAAGTTTTATGTGTCTCCCAAAACAACCCTAAAGCCCTGCAGCAAAATAAACTAATAAGTAAAAAATCTAGAAACTATTTTTTTAAAAAAACCTGGCCTCCAGGAGCAATGAGTTTTACCTCAAGGCCTAGGGTCACTATATCCTTGAAGCATAAAGTGGTGGAGCAATGAGTTTTACCTCAAGGCCTAGGATCACTATACCCTTGAAACATAAAGTGGTACTTCCGGCTGGTTGGTTGGTTGGTTTAAATAGCCACACGCATCTACTAAAATGCAAATGACCTATCAAGATCAGTTTGATGTCACACGATAGGATGGATTTGCAAGGAAACTAATATTGTCACATTTGAGAGTGAAAGGGTTACATGACTAAGGATGCCCCATTTCTATGCACACTCATTCTGCTTGTAGAAGAAGAAGCATTTACTTATATAACAAAAATAAAAGGAGCAGTCATGTTTTAGGTTTGTAGCCAGGAGGGATTATAACTTTTGTTTCCTCTCTTCCTAGAAAGTTCTTAATCTGGAGTCAGATGAACACATTTTTAAATTTCTGAAAGCGAAGTTTGGATTTGGAGCAACAAGGTATGGTGGAAGGCACTTTTCAAAAGTAAAACTGTAACTAGCTATTTTAAAACTGGCAATTTGGATCCCCCCTTTTTTCCTTTACAGAAGTAAAATTGTTTTCATGTATTTTCTCAATGTGAGTTACTAACTTTTTCCACTTGTAAATTCTGAATAATAACTCTTAATCTCATTTCTGTCAGCATTTTGTAAGATGCAACTGTGGGAATAGTTTTGCCTTAGATTTTTAGAAATATACTTAAGGTCAAGAACTTTGTAAAATTGCTGTCTTCTTTTCCTTTTAGAGATTTTGATGCCAACTTGTACCTGTGTGAAGAAGCTTTTGGTTTCTTGCCTCTTAATACTTTCACAAGACTTTCAGATTCATTAGTTTTGTATGCCTATATATTTGTGCTTTTTGTAATGGCCATAACGGGTGCTATCGTTGCTTTTCAAAATCTCAGGTATGTCTGTTTATAAAGTTTTTTTGGGGGGGGGTTGTGTGAGGGTGCTGAGGGAACTATAGTAGTGCTTATTCATCAGATATTTGAGGTAGTTATCAAAAAGCTTTGTTGTAAGAAGATCAATTTGATATTCTGAAATGAAAAAAAGTGATAATTCTGGTAATGCTAGTCTTACAATATGTTGAGGAATGAAGTACACCTGATTTATTTATTGTTATTTATTCGTGACATATCTATCGTGCTGTAGTCCTGTGAATTCAAAGTGGTATACAAAATTCTCGTCCTCAATATTTAATCCTCACAATCCTGTGAGGTAGGTCAGTTTGAGCAACTTAAACTGGTGACCCAGTGCATTTCATGGCCAAGTGGAGATTTAAGTCCTGGTCCATCCAACGTTCTAATCTTTATGTCAGGTGACTCCCTTGTTCCAGCTGAGAATTGCAATCTCCCTAAAGGATCCAGTGAATAGTCTGAAATTTGTGAGTAGCAGTTTTGAACCATAGTACTGGTAGCAGTTTAAACTGGTCTACTGACTCGGAACACTTCTAAAGGTTTCTGGTGCTCTGTACAGTGAGGGGTCCTTCTGGCTATTGTAAAGCTGGTGAGGTGATAAACCTGAGAGGTGAATTCTTAATATATTACTGCTCTTCAGTACCTCCTTCACCAAGAGTTTCAAAAGCTAGGAGACATTGTGTGTGATCAGACAAGCTTTGCTCTGCTGCAGGGACAGTTCTTCTTTTTCCACTGATAACACACCATAATCACTGGAGCAAACTAAATTGTCCCCAGCCATTCCTGTCCGCACACTTCTGAGCCCCTGTCAGGACCTTCTACTTTGGTGTGGGTGGGATTGCTCTAACTGGAAACAGACCAAAAGCTAGCCTTCTCTCTGTCAAGGCTCCTTTCAGTGGGAATTTCCAATATCTGTAGTACACCATCATGACCATAGTGACCATCCATGAATTTGGCTGCTGGCAGTTTCTTGATCAGTCCTTTAAGTATGGCAAAGAAAATATATATGTTGGTTTTTTAAATAAGTGATGCAGCTCATCAGTGGTGGTTTGCTACAGTCTAAAAAACAAAATCACTTCCCCTGCCCCTTTTCTGAGGAGCAGAAAAAGTGTTCCATTTCCAGACATCATGAAATGGCTTGTGTATGAAACCATTTCACGATACCAGAAATTCCAGCTGGAAGGAGCCAGACCAAATATCACTTGAGCTTGGATCTGTGTATCACACCAAATGGCATATTGCACCTCTAACCGATCCCAAGTGACCCTGCTTAGCCTGCACCAGCCTGATCCAAAAGGCCCCAGGAAGCCCCATGGATTGCCATTTTCCTTGCCTGAAGACTCAAGGGACAGCACAGGTGAAGCCGTGGTAGAAACATCACAGTTAAGGTGGTTTGAA